ACTGCCTCCTTTTACTGCTCCCTGGCTTCCCATGTTATTGAGGCCTAAAAGTTATACTGTCACTTTCTGACTACCTAAAGCTGCTGTCTGGTATAAAGTGCAGGCATAAAAGGCTTCATTTACAGGGGCTCATTATATACTGTTGACCGATTAAAAACCCAATACAACCTTCCCAATTCTAATTTTTTTTAGATTTCTACACCTCCACCATGTGTTTATCTCTCAGCTTGGGGAGATCCAATCCATCTGTTAGCGGATGATCTGGAATTCCTCCTATGGGACCCATCCCTACAGAAGCAACAGTCAACTATTTATAAGGCAATGTTCCCTACAATCCATGTAGTAGTCCAACCATTACAATTGAAATGGCAGGCGCAGATTGCTGAATTTGATGGGGAGGATTGGGAAGATGTTTGGGAATACCCCGTTACACAATTAGTGGCCACCAGAGACAAATTGATCCAGTTGAAAATTTTGCATATGGCTTATTTAACGCCTGCTAGGCTACATTGAATATTTCTGGAAGTGACATCCAATTGCTGGCACTGTGGTGCGGTCTCAGCAAACTTCTTCCATATATTTTGGTACTGTCCCCACATCTCCACTTTCTGGATGGAGATACTAGAGTTTATGCACTCCATAACTACAATAACCATTCGGTGGATGTGAGTCTCATAGGCCTGGTCAATCCTTTGGAACACACCACAGCTGTTTGGATACTCCTTGGTCTACTTCTCTTCTATGCCAGAAAGACCATTGTTTTGAAGTGGAAGGCGGCTCAGTCCCCTTCCTTGGAAAACACTGTTCAACTCTGTGGTGCCATTCTACAAGTTGACAAATATTTCCAGGGGATGCCCTACAAAGTTTAACAAAATTTGGGATGTGTGGTTAGAATCCTCCTCTACAGTTGCAGCTGATTCAGGATGAACTAAGATGCCCCCTATAATGCTGCTCTTCTAATGTTTACTGTCTTCATGACCTTACTTATGACCCCCCCCCCCCCCCCCCCCCCAGGCTTCCTGACTACTCCCAGAGAGCAATGCCTAGACTTGAATACCCTCCCCCATATGTTCTGTTTATTCTTATGTAACTGCCAAGACCTTTATTCATTTGTAGGTAATACCTAACTAAGGTTAGTGGTTAGCTGGAGTGAGTGAGCTATTGTTAGGTTCTTTTGTTATATTTGTTTGTTATACCAAGTGAGTCTGGGAATGCCCAGAGGGTCTGTTGTGTACTACCTTTTTATTGCAAAATTTGAATAAAAGGAATTAAAAAAAAAAGACTTAATTTAGGCATGCAGTTGAAGAGACAAAAAATTTGCAGTTGAGCCATGTTTTTGCCGCCTGCCAACTGCCCCCTCCCTTAACCACATGATCCCCAGAAGGTTTTACCGCTTCATGACCAGGACATTTTTTGCTATTCCGCACTGTGCTATTTTAAATGGCAATTGCACGGTCATGCAACACTATGCCCAAATTAAAATTTTATATTTTTTTCATATAAATAGAATTTTGTTTTGATGGCATTTGATCACCACTGGCAGCTTTTTTTATTTTTTGCTATGTAAACAAAATGTAAAAAAAAAAAAAACAAACACTTTTCTTAGTTTCTGTTATAAAATTTTGCAAACAAATACTCTTTCTTCATTCTTAGATTGTAAGCACTAACGAGCAGGGCCCTCTGAATCCTCCTGTATTCATTTGTATTGTAATTGTACTGTCTGCCCTTATGTTGTAAAGGCGTTGCCTAAACTGTTGGCGCTATATAAATCCTGTATAATAATAATAATACATTTAGGCCAAAATGTATTCTGCCACATTTCTCTGGTAAAAAAAATAACCCAAATAAGTTTATATTATTTAGTCTGTGTGAAAGTTATAGAGTCCACAAACTATGGTGTATATAATTGAAAATTGATCAGTCCTAATGTATTGACTGTTTGGGCCGATCTCATTTCTTGAGGCCGGAAAATGCCAGAACAGTACAAATGAATTCTCCCCAAATGACCCCTTTTTGGAAAGCAAAAAGTGGTTCTGGAAATAAGAGTCACAGCATTGAGCTTTTTTTTTTTTTTTGAGGCCTTTGCATTGTTGACTTGTAATTTTGTCACAATTTTTTGAAAAATTTAAGTAAAATAGTCACTTTTTTTTTGTCAGACATTTTGTTTTACATACTGTCACCAATGCAGTACAACGTCATCATATAACTGGTGTGGTGGTGATCAGTGATATGTCTGTTGACAGTATGTAATGTTGAGTTGTAATTTTGTCACAATTTTTTGAAAAATTAAAAATTGTTTTTTTACATCAGATTTTGTTTTACATACTGTCACCAAATTTTTTACAGTATGTAATGTTTTATTAAATTTTTTATAAACTTTTTTTTTTCTCTTTTTTAGAACTTTTTTTCACTATTTTTGTTACATGGTGTCATTATCAGAGATTTTTTTTTTCCACTGGTATTGCCTATAACAGCAATAATCACTGTTATAAGCAATAGTTTTAACTATCATGAATGGTTTTAATTAATGACAGCTTGCTTACTATTGTGATGCTGTGATTGCCTGCAGCTAATCACATGGTACAGGGTGCCAGGCACCATGTGATAGCTGTGGGCCAAATCACAGCATGACAATAGTAAGCAAGCTGTCATGATTGGAAGCCATGTAATCATCTGATCACTATGATTGGTGCGCATGCTCCAGTGCGCATGTGCTGAGCAGCATCACTTAGGGCTCATTCACACTTGACTTTATTTTTAACTCTTGCCAAATGCCCCTATAGCATTTGACAGGCGTTAGGCGTTTGTGAAGCATTTTTAATGCTCCTCAAATGCCCGCAAAATGCCCTATGCGCGATTTTTTTGAGGCAGCATTTGCCAAGCATTAAAAGAGCACCACAAACGCCTAGAATGAAGTTAAATGGTATTAACGCTCCGCAAACGCCTCGCAACCGCACCGCAAACACCTGCCAGACATTTGTGGAGAGCAGCACCATAGACTTAAATGGGAGGCTTCAACTCCTCCTGACCCGACCCGAGGTGTCAGTTTTGCTGCGATGCTAACGCTTCTGTTTGAACAGCACTGTGTGCTGCCATGTGCAGAATTTTCATAGGCGTTTGAGATGCGTTTAAAAATGCTTCCCAAATGCTGTCTGACACCTGCTGACAAAGCTAGTGTGAACGTAGCCTTAGTCTTGAGCTGCTGCCAACTTGCAGTAAATGTACTGTGGGCAGGAGGCAATTGGTTAAGCTACAATAGCCAGTGGACAGGGGTGTTTGCATTCATTGGTTGGCTTGGTTTGTCCTCGAAATGCTTCGTTGGTCACAGGGTTCCCGTATGAACTCAGATGTTGTTTGGTCATACACCTTGTTCAGTTTACATGCCTGTGTTATTATGTCCATTTGAGTAGATACCTATTTTTGTTTCATGCACTAGGTCAGCTGTTTCTCCAAACAGTGTATACACTCAAGCAATATTCAGAAAATCCTGAACAAGATCCTGGTAGAGACAAAACATCAGAATTTCCTATTGGGTCTACTGAGGCCTTTCCTAGCGCAGGAGAAAAGTGTTTGTTGTGTTGGAAAACATGTCCGCCACCTTTGCCTCCCACACATTGATACTGGCTAATGAAGCAGCTCAGGAGGTCAGTTATTGGTGATCTGTGTACTTCTTTCAGTATAAGTTTCATTTAGCCTAGGTTTGCACTAGCACAGCTGCATAGTCATGCTTTTTTTTTTTTTTTTTTGGCATGCTTTTTTCCTGACGCCAACATGGCAGCACACATGTGATATCGCTCCGCCCCTATATTCACCCACAGGACCCATGTATATCTATAAAAGTCTGACTGAGAGCAACCTCCCCCATTCTCCATTTTGTCCTCAAGATCTTTACCTGCAAGATTGTGATGTTGTGAGAAGTCCCTACCTGCCATCTTGGTTCAGCCTCTCCCAGGCGCAGTCCTGCTTCTTAGGTTGCTAAATGCACCAACAAGATGGGGATCCCCTTCTGGTGGTCTTTTGGGGCTGAGGAGTTCTCTATCCAGAGACATCAGAACCTCATGTGCTGCATCTGAGCTGGTGTTTGTTAGCTGCAGTCTATGCTGCATGTGTTTCTCTGCACACCTGAGCTGTGCTGGAGTTAGTGCTGCTTTTTTCTTTTCTCCCACAAGTTAGTGTGATCCCTTTTTGTCTTCCTCCCTGGCCTCTGCCTTCTTCATTAGATTTTGTCATTTTTTTCCTTTGTGAGAGTGATTTAAGAGGTTTTCTTTTGTCAACAGTTTTTCCTTTCACCTGTGACCAGCGTGTGTACACAATCTGGTCTGGGATTTGTGGTTGTTTCTGGTCTCATGGCTGGCTATGGCATCCACACATACACTGTGCAGAGGGCCTCTTGTGGCGACCATCTTTGTTTAAGGTATGTCCTGGCTCATGCATGTGCAAGGTGGGTTTGCTCTGGAAACATCTTCTGTTTTCCCTTGCTTATGCTGCAGGTGAATGAGGAAAGGGGGGGGGATATGATTCAGGCACATGCCTATGATCTGTTTGCTTCTTTCGGAGTCTTTTTCATTTCACTTTCTGCACAGTGCGGATATTCTTGCTCCAACATGAGCCTTCTGCCATATAACCAAGACCTCCATGTTCTCAGGTAGGGACCATCAGTGTGGTAAGTAAGAAGAGAAAAAAAGTGTCTTTCCAGGAGCGCTGCCTTCATCTTCTGGTACAACCTAGCCCGCTCTTGCTTAAGGTCAAGCTAAAATAGTGTTGCCATGGCATGACGAGTCCAGTGGCTCTTCCAGTCCTGCAGGTCTCACGCAGGATGCACATAAAGTTCCCTGAGCTCTAAGAGTGACAAAGGGTAAAAAGTGCTGAGCCTGCGGCGTAGACCTAATACCAGACTACCATGTCTGAGGATATTACTGCTGAAACCTCTTTAAGAAAAAGGAGGCTGGGAGCCAGTACGTCATGGTCCTTCATGGAAAAATAGTTAAGTGATACTAAATCCCGGACTCTGCATTCACTATATCTGGACTCCCACAGTACACACAACATGGAAATGCAATTATTTTAGAAAATCTAAACTGATACTTCCTAAATACCTTTTCTCATCAGTATTTAGAGCAGTCTTGTAACTTCTATCAGTGTCCAGCTGAGCGCTGGTTAAAGCTTGTAGGAGGAGTTTTCTTTCTGCTGTAGGAGGATGTGAAACCTCTGACCCTCTGTCTGGACAGTGCTGATTGGCCCTGTGCTGATCACATGCACCCTCCCTAGAAAAAAAAAAAAAAAAAAAACCTCTAGCAATACACATCAAACTGAGCAGGTGACCACAGGTTCAGTTGGTATCAGGTGGTCATTTCCACAAGAGGAGGGGCAGAGAAGAAAGGATCAAACAACCTTTTTACACAATGCAGAGGATTAACCCCTTAGGTTCCACAGTGAGTATAACAAGCATGCTTTACTGCATATACAGACTGATTTAACTGTTGTGGGTTTAGTAACACTGTAATGATCCTCTGAGTTCTCCAACCACTTATGCTAGCAGACTCTGGGCACAACGTGAAGGACGCAGCCCTGCACAGGAGTACAGGGCACCACAGTTAGCCCTCCTTACCAAGGAGGTCTCAAGCCCATCATAGCCATATTTATTCCTGGCTCTGGAGGCACCTTTATCCAAGCCATTCACATTTGCCTTGGACCTGGCTTCACCAGAGGTAGAAGATCAATCATCATCCTCCTTGAAAAGGCTAAGCAGGGTTCAAGTGTCTCTTGGGTCCAGTCATTCATTACGGTAGTGGGCCCAGAACGGGATGACTGCCTTTTGAAGTCAGAACATACTTCTCCCCGATGAATGGAAATGGAGAGAGGTTGTTTCAAGAGGAGTGGCAATAGTGGTATGAAATCTTTCAGTAGTAAACGGCTGCAAAATGATAACCTACCCAGGAGGAAAACGTCACTTCTCTGTTGAATATAATGGCACTGCCACATGCTAACACACTTAACATGCATTGTATTGACACACATTACAGCACTGCACTTTACTGCAAAGATATGGACAATACTAAACTAACTGTTAAATGCCCTATGAAAAGCGACTACTTGGGATCACTTTTCAGAGGAGCTGTTATATTATCTGCACATGCAAAGAAGCCCTAATGCTCATGTTTGACAGGCAGCTCTGTATACCAGTCAGCATCCCTAAGCTAAACACTATTTCAAGAGCTGTCAATGGTTAGTCTGGCCTTCCTCTTCATAGGAGGTCAAGGCTCAGGTGAGTTCTCTCGGCTAGTTTGGCCCACTTTACATTTCAAGACATTTAATTCCTTTCAACCCCCACAGGAGTTTTGTTGAGAGGAACCCCCCCCCCCCCGACTAGTGTGGCTGATTCGGCGCACAGATAAAGCCAATTTTTGGGATCCATGGATGCCTGCTATGGTACAACTCAGTTACTTTTGGTGGTTCAGATATTGTCCTCTAGAATTATTCTTCATACAGGCCAGAGTAACATTTTCTGCTCAAGAGGTGGATGTTCTCTTTCAGTACATCAATAATATGACTGCAAAGGGCATTGATTCGAAGTCCTCCCTCACAGACTTTTTTATTCTCTTCGGTGTCTGTATGAAGAAGCCTGAAGATTCAACTGGTGTTGAGTTTAAAGAAACTCAGCGGGGGATTGACAATTCCAGTTTGCATACCTTCCTTCATGGCTCTCTACCTCACAGGTGACCTTTACAAAAAGTCCTAATCTCTGTGTAGCCCCTCTGGGGAAATTATTATTATACAGTATTTATATAGCGCCAAAAGGTTTGCTCAGCGCTGAACATTATAGTGGGGGACAGAACATTGAGACAATACAGTAACAAAAACAATACACGAGGGGTTTGAGGGCCCTGCTCTTTCAAGTTTACAATCTAGGAGGGAGGGGATAGTGGTACAGGAGGAAGTGGCTGTGGGGGATGGAGTGGTAGGAGGAGTGGAAGAGATCGGCTGTTAAGTGAGGGTGGGGTAGGCTTCCCTGAAGAGATGGGTTTTCAGGGTGCGCCTAAAGGTGAGGAGGGTAGGTGACAGTTTGATGGATTGAGGTAGTGAGTTCCAGAGGATGGGGGAAGTCCTGGAGAAGTCCTGCAGTCGGGCGTGGGAGGAGGAGACCAGGGAGCTAGAAAGTAGGAGGTTTGTGAGGAGCGAAGAGTACGGGTTGGGAAATGGGATGCTTTGCATCCATCATTACTTGGATGGTATTCTACTGTTGGCCCAGATCACCTACTAGTTCAAAAGGGTATTCATCCAGCCATCCTGAAGTTTTGGCTGGATTGGAGGTGTCAAAACAGTGTAAGCAGACCCATCTAGTCATCAATATGGAAGCCCAGTTCAATGCTCAGAGCAGCACAGTGGCTAAATGGTTAAGCTCTTCTGCCTGGCAGTACTAGGGTCGACGGTTCAAATCCCAACCACGGCACCACCTGCCTGGAGTTTGCATGTTCTCCCTGTGCCTGCGTGGGTTTCCTCCGGATACTCCGGTTTCCTCCCACACTCCAAAGACATGCTGGTAGGTGAATTGGATTCTATCTAAATTGGCCCTAGTGTGTGTGTGTATGTATGAATGTGAGTTAGGGACCTAAGATTGTACGCCCCTTGAGGGTTATGTGAATGTACAATATATATGTGAAGCGCTGCGTAAATTGATGGTGCTATATAAGTACCTGAAATAAATAAATAATGCTCGAGTGAGTACTTTTCTGCTCCTTCTCAGAATAGGTGAAGGAGCAGGGAACATCTTTGGAACGTGGTATCTGTCAGTTTTGTCAAGCTTCCCAATTCAGGCGTCTCCTGGAAACAATGATGTCTTGCATCCCTGGGCACACTGCATTCTCTGCACGTTCCAAAGAATTTTCTTTTTGCAATACAGAAGTTGGCACTTGAGCTGATTCAAAGTGCTTCTCCTCAGATGTGCAGGAGTCTCTGGTTATGGGTGTGACATGGGATCACTCAATCCCCTATGGTAGGTTCATTATCTCGGACTATTGTCACCTTTGATGCCTGTGCTATGGGCAGATTGCCACCTGCAGTTACTATGTAGGCTGTCACCTAGCATTCAGGCTTGACTGGTTATTCTGCATGATGTTAACACAGCAGCAGTGTTGACTTTTTTTTCATGTGTTTAGAAATAAAGGAAACTCAAAGGCAGGTTCCAACTGAAGTGGAGCTATCCTGTCCATGACCGAATGTATTCTTCAGAGGCTACGGGCTCCCAGAATGCCAAAAGACTGTGGTGCCAGGTGTTTTTGGTTCCCATTGAATGGGTCTTTAATCAAAAAGATCTTGCCCATATCACTCAAGTATGCGGCTTCCCTCAGTTGATCCTGTTTGCATCACCATCCTTTCACAAGGTGCCTCTCATGCTACCCTCACCAGTTGGTGGAGGAAGTGGATGCTCACTCAGCCAAGGAATAGTTGCCTAGCAATGGCTTTCCTCTACTGCCTTTGGTCATGAAGCTCCAGGGGGACTGTTGTCCGAGAGTCTCACTATGATAAATGCATGCATGCCCATGGAACTGGAGTCTGGACCAAGCACTTCAGCTATCAGTGTTTCCACAATACCTGGCCCAGGGTGGATTGGAAATTGTGAGGGAAGGATTAGGGCCATCCTCTTTCAGTGGTAAATCCTGCAGGGTTTCAGGAAGGATGCCAACAAATGCCATTTTCACTGCGAAGTCTGGAACAGGTTCACAGTCTTTGCAGTTGAGCAGGAGTTTGATCCTAGCACTTGCTATAATTTCTCACACAAATCTGTATTTGGAGCTCAGCCTAGTTCTCTAAGGGCTCATATTTAAGTCATTTCAGCTTCATCAGGGAATATGAGTGTGTGAGTTGCTAGGGGACCAATTCAGGAGATTGGTCCTGAGACTTTGCCTTGTGGAGGACCAATAGAAAGGAGTCTTCAGTAGGGCATCACTCGAGGAGCAGTGTCCCTCAATAACTGGGCTATGACAAGATGGCATAGGAGACTTGTGACATGACACACACGGCTATTCGTGTGCCAATACGTACAACCATTACAAGCGGCAGTTGTGTGGATGAAAATGTCTTGTTGATGTCAGAGGAAAATAGGCAGACTGGGTCGAGATGATAGAAAGGCAACAGTAGCTTAAATAACTACTCGTTACAATCAAGGTATGCAGAACACCATCTCTGAACGCACAACACATCAAACCTTGAAGCAGATGAGCTACAGACACATTAGCAGAAGACCACTACACCAGATGCCGCTCCTGTCAGCTAAGAATAGGAAACGGAGGCTACAATTCACACAGGCTCACCAAAATTGGAAAAACATTGCATGGTCTGAGACTCGATTTCCCTAAAGATGGTTGTGCGTGAAAATCCCAGTAGACTAGCAGTTTTTGAAATACTCAGACCAGCCTGTCTGGCACCAACAACCTTGCCACATTCAAAGTCACTTAAATCCGCTTTCTTCCCCATTCTGATGCTCCGTTTGAACTTCAGCCAGTCGTTGTCTTCACCATGTCTAGTTGCCTAAATGCATTAAGTTGCTGCCATGTGATTGGCTGATTAGCAATTTGTGTTACCAGGAAATTGACCAGGTGTACCTAATAAAGTGGCCGGTGAGTCTGTGTATGGCCAGCTTTATATCTTGCTTTAGGATGCAGGGTGATCATCACCATACTCAGGTGCACTATTTTTTTTTTTATCTGGAGAATGAGCTGTGACGACAAACAGGGAATGTTGGAGAACTTGTTTGTTGCTTATCTCCAGCTGCCAATGGAATTTCTTTTATAACATTCCGTATTTATAAAGCAGTAAGGCTGGCCATACACTATACAATTTTCTGTCCAATTTCTGCCTAATTTTCTTTACTTTCAACTCAATATAGTGCAAGGGCCTGCCTAATTGGATACAATTGAAAAGGTTGTTTAGGTTTGACCTCATATTATATGGTTGTTGGTAAATCTAAAGCAATTTTCTAAAGAAAATTGTATAGTGTAAGGCCAGCCTAAATGTGACTTTCACCAAACATTCAATTGTGAAGCAATCACGGTCATTTAAAGCACATGAACCAGGAACATTCACCTGCAGTGAATGTTTGCTGAATGTCAGATTCATTGCGTTTATAAATATACCTCTATATTTATTGTAAGTTAAAGATAGTAAGGCCACTGTAGGACTGGCTTGTGGCTGGCTGTATATGGAACAAAAAAAACCACTTTTTTAAAACAAAATTAGTCAAGCACTCCTTTGAAGTGAACCTGTC